GTTCTATATAACACCACAATAGTCTCAAATGATGCACAATTCCTTGTAACTTCAAAATACTTCCTGTCCAAAGAAACAAACAAATTAAATTTGCATGCACTCTTATTCCATTTAACAAATTAAACATTTTCAGATTTGACTTGTTAACTGAAATTAAGTCAGGGCTTGCTGGCATCCTTTATATTGTGGCATCTGGACTAACAGAATGACTTTAGTGGAATCTGTTTGACTCTATCTTCCTTAGAGAACAAGTTGAACTTCCTATGCTCTTTTGATCAAGTGTCCACATAATGAAAAATGTAAAACCCAAACCTCCTATTTGTTCAGAGTTTAAAATCTTCCTACTGCTATTAGGCTTGGCCAGTAATATCCAAATACTCATTTTAATTTATGGTTTTCACTTATAAGCTTATAACCCAAGCTTTAGCACTGGTTTTAAAAGATTCCCAAACAAATGGATCATATGTTAAAAACAAACAGAAAAACAAATAAACATCAGGCTATTCAAGTAAAGGCAAAGCAACAATGCAGTTTTTTCACTGATTAGAATTTCTTTGCATGCGTCAGTCCTACAAAGGAAAAAGTTTAATCTTGAGTTCAAGGGACAAATATATTAGAAATATTGATGAAGGATAATTGGAAGGCAGGTAGGCAGGCAGGCAGGGACAAGGGGCCCCTGCCCTAAAAGGAAACCACCCTTAAAAAGATTTTACACCACCCCAGAAGGAGCCCGCCACCCTTTCCCATATGATAATTAGGTGACAAAAATCTGATTGGATGACAGGCACAGGGAAGATTAATCATATTGAAATAGTCCGCCAACAAGCCCATAAAAACCCCTAGACTTAGAAACCCCCATGGCAACCCCTTCGGGTCCCCTCCTTCCTTGGGAGCTTTGTACTATCACTTCGCTATCTCTCAATAAGCCTTGCTTTGCTGCCCACCACTCTGTCTGGTCTACCTCTTCATTCTTTGAAGTGGCATGACCAAGAACCACAGGCCCCGACAAAGGAAAAAAATCCTGCAACAATATAATGAGAAAAATCATGTTGGCCAGCAAAGAAATTCTGTTTTGCCTTGTTAGAGAACTTCAGTCCACATCTGACTTTGCATAAATTGTAGTAGTAACGTGCATGGATATTGGGAGGAAGATTGATTAACCAGTAGAAATCACCAGGTGGATTCAGGTTGAATGTAAGATCTCTGGAAAAAGGCACGACTACAGGAGCCGGAGTCCAGTTCAAAGTCAACTCATCAAGACTCCACTCGTACCCTGGGATAACTCCAGATCTTTGAGTTTGGTTAGGGAAAAGGGACATCATCAAAGAAGGTTAGATGCAGAGATAAACTGTTTCCAGTTCTTCGGGCTATATAGATAAGAACTCTAGTGGTCTATTTTGAATTCCTTTGCAACTTTTAGTGTAGCTACTCCCAACCCCTCCTAGAGGCAGTATCAATAGAATTTGGAAAATCAAAGCAATTCAAAAAATGAATGACCACAACCAAGGTCACCAAATCAAAAGGTCCATTATTGCAAAGCCCTTTAATTTAGGAAGGTCCCTCCTAGAAGAAACCATGCATAAATTAAGTTTTCTATTACATTTGGGATGTAAGGAGAAATGATGGTTGAAAGACCTAAACTCTTGGAAGCAGTATACACTATTGTGTTCTGGGCCAGTTTTAAGTGTGAATACATAAATAAATTGCCTTGGTTATAAAACTAACAAAACAACCAAATAATCAATAACTATTCATTTTTCTTTGTCTCAAAAACACATCATATCACTGCAAGATTTCTCTTTGGTTATCAAAACTGGGTCTGAACCCAGTAAGGCCAAGTGGTTTGGTCACTCTCACAAAGAAACTGGAACTAGAGTTGTTTAAAGCTATGTTTTCCCATGACTATGACATGAAGCAGAAGCTTAGATGAGGAAATGCAACCTTGGAATTCTGACTTAACTCAGCCAACATTCCTACTGGTAAAGAAGCATGTCTACACTGTCTCTATTGATGCCTTCCACCAAAAATTAGAGGAGGCAAACTTCACAAAGCTTTATACACAGCCTCATTAAAAAAAGAAATTGAGGATATTATGTTTGTAAAATGAAGTAAACCCAAGTAAATGAATGCAGAAAATAAAATGAGTGCAGGGAGGAGATCCTAAATGTATGACACACGGTCCTGTTCAATAGCTGGGACTCAGAAAGCATGTTACTTGGTGCAACCTGAGAACTTAAGGAGTAAGTATGGGTGCAGCAAGAGTTTCCATGGATTCAGTATTTTTCAACATTCAGCAAATGGCAATGCCTGTTCATACATCAGGGCTCCCTCCCTAGAACTTTGCACAACACCTTTGAAAATGGGACTTCACTGTGAAGTTTTACATAATGTTTTTTTCATAATTCTGAAGTATCTTCCAAAATGAATCCCAGTTATAATTTTGGAATGCAATATGACAATTAATTTGGGTACGCGTTCCAAGAGCTGCACCAAACACTTCATTATGTGTCTATACACACATGCAGACACACAGACATCATTCCTCTCCGGGATTATAATTCACTAAGTACATTTTGGGGCACAATACATTGTTGCATACATTACATCTGAAAAAAAATAATTTCACTAAATAAAATAAATAATAAAGAGTAAGTTAGAAAGAATGCAACAGGTTCTTGTTTTTACCTTGTGCTTAAGTTATAGGTTAAATGTTTTTCCAGTCAATCAGGCTGGAGGCTGTGGGGGAAGGAGGGGAGAGCTGGCTTACATGGGATTCTTTCTAGCTCATGAAAGATAAATATAAATTCCTAGATTCTTCCCTACTGACTCAATAAAAATACAAGGTGCTCTGACCAGCCAGAAGCTCCTAATTTAAATTCCAGTTTATGCTTTGATCCAGAACAGTGTGTCTTCGCAAAGGTCCTGCAGCGCTGGGAGAGTTGCATGGGCACAAGTGTCTCCTAAGGAGCAGCCATTGGGTGCAGGGGTTTGAGAAGACGAAGGGAAGGCGTGTCTTCCACCTGCTCTGCCAGAGACTTGCTGCCCCCAAAGGGGGAAGCGAGTTCCCCACCAGCCTTGCACAACTTGGCTTTGGCCCCCAACTCCTTCCCATTGGTAATAGCTGGAGTTCTTTCGAACCTAGGTACCTCATCTCGTATTCCACACGCAAGGTGTCCCAGGAGGTGGTAGGAAAAGCTGTTTTTTATTCATTTTGAACCAGCCGGACTAATGCACATCTTAGACAGCAACCTCCCTCCCCTGCCCTCGTCCTGTACTGGGCAAGAAGACTGCACCAGCCCCAGCCGCAGGCCCGCGCCGGGCGCGCGCCCCCTGGTGGCCGGATGGGCCATAAGCGCAGCGGCGCCTGCGTTCACCCCGAGGCTCAAAGGACTCGGGCGCTGGGCGAGCTGCCCAGGCCGTGGAGGCCGGGTCGTCCCTTGCCCTCAGCCCCGGGGACACGGCGGAGCTGACCGAAGTAGCCTCGTCCACCCTCACCGAGGGGTGGAGGGTGGGGGACGTAGGCCAGCACCCGGAAATAACGCATGCCACTTCCCCTGCCATCTCTTTTTCCAAACCCAGGGCGAGTGGGGAGAGCCCTAGAGAAACATGGAGAAGGCAGGGCTAGAGCGCAGCGCGGCGGGGAGCGCGCCCGGGACATTCTAGAGCTCGAGCTCGAGAGGAGGCAGCGAGCGTCAGGGTAGCTGCAAACGGATGTGAGCTGGAGCTGGACGCGGGGAATCAAGCACCACGTTTTCCTAGCACTGTTTCCAGAACTCTAACCCCGCACAAGGGCAGGTGCTATTCGGGAGATTTGACCGTACTTCCCTGTGAAGTAAAAACATTCTGTAAATTATTAGAATCCAATATGAGGAGTGTGTGGGGGTGGGTGGGGAGGGTTAATTTCCCACCGGTGCTCCCACGTGAAAGCACGTTTCTTAGTAAATGAATGGCAATTAGAGCACTGCATATCTATGCATTTTCTAGCTTTTTATTTCTACTTTTTTTAAGTGGGAAAATGCAGACCATCTTCAAAATGTACAATAGGATCTTCTTGGGAAATGTTCTAGGTGACAAGGGGAGTCAGAAATGAAGGATGACTTCTGGTTAAGTGAAGGAAATCTGCAGTGGAACAGTGAGCCCCCTACCATTTCTGAAGCCCGTCATGTCGACCTTGAGTTATCGTGTCTGTGTTATTAACTAATTTTAAAAAGGCTTAGACTGTAGAATTTCCTTCAGCTATTGTGTCAAACAAAACTGATCTTCAAAAAACCTCCATCTGTAGCTAACTCTCCTTGAAAAATATAAAATCTAATGTTAAACTAAAAACTACAGAGCGACACAATCAAAAGCAAATCTCGGTCAGAGCATAAAGTACTTGAAACCCGAATCTGCATTCCGTTCCTCTCCTACACGGCTCTGAGGTGGGGGAGGCGGTTTGTGCTGGTGCCTGGTGTATAATCGGGTTAATCCAGTAGACAAAGAATAAACCAATAGCCCTCCCACCTCACTTCCCGCTCCCCTTCCCCTCCCCCCTCTCCTCTCCCCGTCGCCCCCCTCGAGGGGGAACAGAAAAGGGGAGAGGTGGGCTTGGATGGATTCCGAATAAACTCTTAAAACCTGCAACTTGTTGTTCTAATGCTAACACTGCGTGTCCGGATTAGTTTTCAAGGTTCATTCCCTTTTCCTAATGGCAAGGAGAAAGTTCCGTCAGTCAGTCCGAGCCCAAGGCTCGTCCACATGGCCTCTGGGGAAACCTTAAGGTCAGTGTTTCCTTGAAACTAGATAAACTGACCCCGCCGTGCCCAGCCCGGCCCCGCGGGCGCCCCGCGTGACGGCGCCCGGGCGGCAGGACCGGCCTGGGGACGCGCGGGGCGGCGCGGTTGCCCTTTTGAATGCCTCCTGCGGCTCGGAGCGCTGGCGGGCGCTGAAGTGTGAGTGAATGTAGCCCCGCGGAGCCAATGAGCTGGGACCGGATGCGATATATCCTCTGGGACAACAACTGCTCTGTTCCGCCTCGGATCCACATGACGCCATTTACTGCTGCCGCGGCCGCCGCAGAGCTCCCTGCCTCCGGAAAGGCAAGGGCGCAGGCCAACGGCGAGCCCCCCCGCCCCCGGCCGGGCCCCAGACCCTCCTCCTCCTCCTCCCTCACCGCCTCCTCCGCACCCACCGCCCCCGCCTCGGCCTCGCCGCCGCGCCTCCACAACGCCCAGTCTGCACCGTTGAGAGCCGCGCGGCGCAGCGCGAGCGGAGGAGAGGGGCCGGCGGAGCGCGCAGCGCCCAGGCCCCCGCGCCCGCCCGGCCCGGCCCGCGCCCCCGCGCCGCCTCGGCTGCGACGCGGCCGGAGGACTTGGCCATCTGGCTTTACATTCTCTCTGAGGCGGTTTTCTTTTTCTCCTTCGTTCGTCTGCCAGGAAAAGAGACTAGCCGTTGGCGCTTCGGCCTCCAGTTCATTGAGAAAAAGGAAATACTCCGCGTGCGTTTCTAGAAGGGGGGTCGCCCCCAGCCCCGAACCCCGGAGTGTTAATCGGCTGGGGACTTGGCTCCGGATTTCCCTCTCCTTTTTTCCTCCCGCCGATTGCTCGGAACTTGGACTGAAGCAGAGTTTGGAAAGAAGGGACGAAAAGTTTGCATCGGGGCTGGATTTTATTTGCACATCGCAGGAAGACGGGAATCCAACGGAGAGGGGTTGGTGCAAAGCCGCGATCACGGTGAGGCACGTTTGGCTCTTCCCCTCCTGGCGCCTTGGCCGGCGCGTTGTGGGCAACATGGAGTAGGTGCAGCCGGACCAGGAGTGGGGTCTGTCTCTTCCTCCGGCCTCCCTTTCTCTAACCCCGCAGGTTCCCCGCGGGGATCCAGGGAACTGCCCGTGGAGCTGCCTTGCCCCGGGCTCGGCCTGCCTCGGCGGGGGCTGCAGTGCGCGCCGGGTACGGTGTCCCCAGCCCTAGGACCCCACGCGCCCGCGCTCTGGGGGGTTGGGGTGGCGGACTGCTCGTCGCGAGTCGGCTGCTGGCCCTGCATTGGCCGCGAATTCGGCGCTGAGAGCAGGAGAGGGAGGGGGAACACTTTTGTGTTTTCCAGGTCCCCGTTGTAGGCGCCCGCATTTCTAACCTGTTCTTCTCCGGGGAAGGCAAGTCCTGGGTGAGACTGTCCCGAGGCAGGGGCGCCAGCGGGACCGAGGGCGCGCGGGTCGCTCGCCTCACGGGGGCAGCGAGACCCCGCGGCTGAAAAATGGGCAGGGTGCCGGGTACAGAGGCGAGCCGGTGCGGGTGGAAGCGTCGCCCCACCGGGCGCCGCGTCTGCGGTTCGGAAGTGCGGCTCTCTCTTTTTTCCGTTCTCTGTGGTCGGCTTGGGTCACGCTTTTTTTATTTTTGGAAGATTGGGCTGACCTAGCACAGGAAGAAAGTCATCAAGCGGTCGCGATCGTTTTCCATTACCTGAAAATAGGTGGCAAAAGAGGCTAGTTTTTTTGTTGTTAATTTCCTTTGATGGGCTGATCTACTTGTTTGTTGCTGCTGCCTTGAATTCGGAATCTTGTGCGTTTTTACAAAGCGGTTTCTGTGTTTGCCCCACCCTCGTGCTGAAGTCCTTTCCCCTTAATCCTTAGTCTGATCACACGGTGTTCTTAATGGGGGTTTCTAAGCATTTTCCGGGTGGGGAATGGGGGAGCGTGGGGGGTGGGCGGCGGTAGCTGCAAAGGAGGCTAGGAATGGGCAGTAATCATTTTTGTTAAAAAAAAAAAAAAAAAATTCTCCCCCTCCCCGCAAAGATGCTACTTTCCACTGCAAGCAAATCTTCGCGGAAAGTTTCCAGCCGAGGGATCTGCGTCCTGCACGCCTGGCTTGTGCAGTGGGGCCCTGGGAATTGCCCTTTCTAAGCAATTTTCCTTTCACTCTTTCTCTCCATCCAAAAGGAGATGGGGTGTGCAGATTGCAGGCAATGCCCGTTCGGTCAGTGCATGGTGGAGTCGACCGGCGTGCGTGGGTTAGACTCTGCCCGGGCAGGGTGTCTAAGGCACGGCTTTCGGCGTCAGGGGCTTGAAACCTGTGCCCGGACATTCGAGGGCCTTTGCCAGAACGCCCCGCGGTGGGCTGCGTGACCTCTGCCTGGGGTGGAGTGGCTCCCTCTTGGAGCTGGGAGGCAGTTCTCTGGGGTGGGGTATATTTTACCCGGGAGGTAGGGAGGGGGAAGTGTGAGCGTTTCAAGGCACGTCCCCTTCGGAGGAGCCCGCACCCCCGCCCCTCGCCTTCTAGGCAGTCTTGGGATTGTGTGCAGGGGGAGGGCAGCTTGGCCCCTGGGCTGTGTCAGTCTCCCCGGAGGAAAGTCCCCCGGGGCTCTGACTGTGTCCCACCTGCTGGGGACGGTGTTGGGACGCTGATAGAGCCGATAAACGGAGTGAAAGCAAAGATCAACGTCGTCTTGTCCGCCTTTTCTGTGGGAAGTGAGATCCGGTTTCCAGCTCTGCCTTGTTAATTGGGAGGCGTGTGTCACCTGCCTGTATCTCTCTTATAAAAATCGGAGACTGGATAAAGGTCCACTTTTTCCCGTTTTTGTTCATTGTAGCCTTGGCAAAGGGGGTGATAGTTTTGAAATTTATAGAGGGTTTGCAGTTTAAGCGATTACATGTCAGAATGATAGATTTGAGACGTGACAGGAATTTTTGAAACACTTCCTGTTATCCCCAGTCAGTTTAGGTTCTGAACTATTAGGTTTTTGGAAACAGGCAAAGCAGTTAATATTTTTGACATAATTTATTTCTAAAACAGAACAGTCTTTTAGGTACAGAATTAAAGATGCTTTCTCAGGCTGTCAAGCTGTAAAATATTTGAGCCACAAGTTGTTGAGAAGTTGAAAATAAGTTCCTGTCTTGTTGCTGGTTGTTCTTGTGTTCCTGGCACCTAATAGGATTTGAATGGATTTGTTTTTAATTTATAACTTGTGCTACTGTATAGTTAATAATGCATGACTGTTGTGAAATTTATAACATCCTTGGGGGGGCGAATATTTGCTTTTTCGCAAGTCACATTCATTCTATGGTATTCTAAAAAGTTGCAGGATACTGGCTAAAATATAGTTAAAGGTATTTGATGTAAAAGCAGACAAAGTAAGAACCAAGAATTTCTGGGCCGCGTTTATTGATGTTTAAGGCAAAAATGACTACGACAAAGTTAAACCTATCTCGATTTTGAATCCTTTGGCAGCAGTGTGGTGTTCTAACGTTATTTTCTTTCAATCTTTACCTTGAACCTGAACCTTGCAGTTTTATGATTGAAACAAAGATTAGCTTTGTGTTACTATACATCGCAAGATTAAAGAATTGTCAGTACCCGGTCCTAATTTTTACTTTTTGGTATGGCATCGATCGTATGGCTATTCTAAAACCCTCCATGGCCACTGCATTTCAAATCCTGTTCCTCTGGGGGGAGCGGAAATCGAAGAGTTAATTCAGGTGGGCGGAGAGTGGGAAGTATCCTGGAGTGTAAACCAGCTCTTTCCTCTTGGTTTCTGCAGGAATTCAGATGTGTTCTAAGCCCGCTGGAGTGACCACACTTCCCAGACCTGATGGAGGCCAGAGCTCAGAGTGGCAGCGGGTCGCCGTCCTTGCTGCAGGCACCCCGTGACATTGGCAGGCAGCGTGGGGAGCCCGACCCCAGAGAAGCCCTCACCCAGCAGGTACACGTGTTGTCTCTGGATCAGATCAGAGCCATCCGAAACACCAATGAGTACACAGAGGGGCCTACTGTGGTCCCGAGACCCGGGCTCAAGCCGGCTCCTCGCCCCTCCGCTCAGCACAAACATGAGAGGCTCCACGGTCTGCCCGAGCATCGCCAGCCTCCCAGGCTCCAGCACCCACAGGTGCATTCTTCTGCACGAGCCCCTCTGTCCAGGTCCATCAGCACAGTCAGCTCGGGGTCTCGGAGCAGTACAAGGACAAGTACCAGCAGCAGTTCCTCTGAACAGAGGCTGTTAGGACCATCTTTCTCCTCGGGGCCTGTTGCTGATGGCATAATCCGTGTGCAGCCCAAATCGGAGCTCAAGCCAGGTGAGCTTAAGCCCCTGAGCAAGGAAGATTTGGGCCTGCATGCCTACAGGTGTGAGGACTGTGGCAAGTGCAAGTGTAAGGAGTGCACCTACCCTAGGCCTCTGCCATCAGACTGGATCTGTGACAAGCAGTGCCTTTGCTCAGCCCAAAACGTGATTGACTATGGGACTTGTGTGTGCTGTGTGAAAGGTCTCTTCTATCACTGTTCTAATGATGATGAGGACAACTGTGCTGACAACCCGTGTTCTTGCAGCCAGTCTCACTGTTGTACACGTTGGTCTGCCATGGGCGTCATGTCTCTCTTTTTGCCTTGTTTATGGTGTTACCTTCCAGCCAAGGGTTGCCTTAAATTGTGCCAGGGGTGTTATGACCGGGTTAACAGGCCTGGATGCCGCTGTAAAAACTCAAACACAGTTTGCTGCAAAGTTCCCACTGTCCCACCCAGGAACTTTGAAAAACCAACATAGCACCATTAATCAGGAATAGGACAGTAATAAGGATTGTTCCCTCTTTTTTTTTTTTTTTTTAACACATATGCAACCAACTAAACAGTTAGAATCTTGGCACTGTTAATAATAGAGGGTTGGGATATCCTTTGCTGTTTGCAGTGAAATGCTTTTTGTCCGTGTGCCATTTTAACTGATATGCTTGTTAGAACTCAGCTAATGGAGCTCAAAGTCTGGGATACAGAACTTGGGGACCCATGTGTTGCATAAGCTAAAGCAACAGACACTCCTAGGCACAGTTTTTGTTTATGAATAGTTACTTGCAAAATTTGTAAATTAGTAAATGACTTTTTTCCCATTGTTTTCTCCAGAGATAATGTGCTATATTTTTGTATATACAATAATATTTGCGACTGTGAAAAACAAGTTGTGCCATGCCATGTGGCACAGTCACAAAATATTATACTAATATGTTGTACATTCGGAAGAATGTGAACCAATCAGTATGTTTTTAGATTGTATTTTGCCTTACAGAAAGCCTTTATTGTAAGACTCTGATTTCCCTTTGGACTTCATGTATATTGTACAGTTACAGTAAAATTCAACCTTTATTTTCTAATTTTTCAACATATTGTTTAGTGTAAAGAATATTTATTTGAAGTTTTATTATTTTATAAAAAAGAATATTTATTTTAAGAGGCATCTTACAAATTTTGCCCCTTTTATGAGGATGTGCTAGTTGCTGCAAATGAGGGGTTACAGATGCATATGTTCAATATAAAATAGAAAATATATTAACGTTTGAAATTAAACGGAACTGTTTCGTCTTATTTTACCTTTTCTTTGTTTTTGTTTTTGTTTTTGAAGTGAAAAAACCCACATTTTATGTGAAGACTAGCATTTCAATGAAATAGTTTCACTTATCTACAAGGTTCTTTAAAGGGGAGATTCAGTGATTTCTTTTTTTTTTTTTTCTCCAGAACTAATTCTAGTAATCGGGAGGGAAATAACTGAGCATTTGACTCGGCTGTATTAATCCTGAGATCATTGTTCCTGTTCTTCCCTTTTACAGATCTGTTGGCTTTCCTTTGCTTTGCATGTTTAAAAAAAAAAAAAAGTCTTAAACTAATTCATTGTGGAGACTTCCCTAAAAGATTAACAATTAGGTTTTTTTCTTTACATACGGAATTAAGAATAGCCAGCCATGAGGCTAATTCAAGACCAGAAAAACGAGTTTAGTTCAACATTTATTGAATGTCCTCAGTGTCAGGTATGCGGTATATGCAGATCAATGCTTGTAACTGAGGCAAAAATGTTTTCTTGACAGCTGATTATGGCTATGTGTTTTCCAGCCTATATGGTTTTAGACTTAATTTATCACCGTGATACCGGAAATTTGTTATGTTAGAAAAGACAGGAAAATTATAACTTGGCTTGATTCAGGTGTTGGGTATCATAAAATCTCATCCTATATTGGCCTAATAATTGAAGCCCAAGGAAGCCAATTGAGAGGCCTGGTCTTATTTAATCAAGTTATCCAGAAAATTGTTAAATTCCACTTTGGGAGAAAGACGCAATACCCCAAAAAGCCAGTGTGTTTGCATTTGTCTTTTGGGAGCAAATACACACTAAGCTGCTACAGCCCAGCTCGACAAATAACTAGGTTTTCTTACTTGTAATAAGTCACTTAATCCATTAGTTTGTGGATGATGATTTTTCTCTTCTGAAGCACAACCTCTTGCTGCCAAGAATCACCGGAAGTCTAGAAAATGATTTACCTATCATTGTTTAATCTTGTTTCCTGTTCTGAGGCTCCTTCTCTTAAGAGGTCTTATCCTAGTACAGATCATCTTCTGTTTTGTTTTTTAAAATTAGCTTTCAAGGAAATATACAGCCTCTTAAACCAAGGCATTGCTCTAAGGACCTTGGGAGTCCTCTAAACTTTCTCCAAAAAACACAAGGTTAAATTAAGTTAGACATTATTTACTCTAGTTTCAACTTTGGGATACTGAGCATTGCAATTCTAATACTCTTAGATTTAACCCTGATGATCTACGAGAAATTAATGTTGGAAAACAAGGCAGGGTTTCTTATTCATTGTACCGTTGTCAGGATTTGTAAAGCACAAACATTTTGACTAATTAGCTTTATTCCTCAACAACTGCCCTATGCACTGATAGGACTTCTTTAGTATAGAAATTGCAAGTCGTTTTTTTCAACATACAAACAGCTTTCCAAGTGTTCTATAGACACATTGCATCAAATGCAATCGGGTGTTTATTGAAGAACTAGATTAAGAGCCCTTCCCCGTGGTTATTCAGAGTTGTATGGTGTGGCCTAGGAATTTGTATTTTTAAAAAATCACTCCACTAGTCATGCGTAGTTTGAGAACTACTGACTTAGGAATTGATTCCTAATTTAGCACTTTTTTTTTAATGGGATAGATGTAAAGCATAATTCCCTTGAATGTAGAACGTAGTAATAAGCCACTGAAGTTAGAAGATTTGTGTAAGTATATATTAAGTCCTGATGAAAATTACTTAAAGATAAATAGGAATATTGGATTCCTCAAGAAGCTTCCAATGAAACTACTAAATGTTCAGTATTTATATATACTGTATAAAATTCATTTTCAGAATATGGAAAATTAAGTGTTTATATCTAAACAGACTGAAAACAGCTGGTACCCATAACTTGAGTGTGTGAAAGAGTTTTTAAATGTTGCAGGTCATCTCATTGAGATGGAGGAATAACCAGTTCAGGTTTTTAATCTCTGTAAAGTTCATGGAGATTCATACATAAATACCATGAGTTTATAATCCAATGGCCATTATTTTGATATCATGATAGGTTAAAAGTAGAATGATAGAGCAAACATGTCAATTGATTGCTATGCATTTAGGGAGATCTTAGCTATGTTTTCTGGTTTCTTCCCTCCCCCCCCCCCTTTTTTTTTAAGAAACCTGTACATTCTCTATATTGAGATTCATTTAAGAATGACAACATGATCGTTGTTAGTTAAAACATTCATTTATGTGTATTGAAGAGGAGATTTTTTTTAAGGCCCTGTCACATTTCTACCATGTTGGAGCATGCTCTGGGAATTGTCAGTGAAAGAAAGCCAAAACCAAGTGCAGGTACTCCCAACCAAACTTTTGGCATAGCTTCTTTCTCCAACACACTTTTGTCTCAAATATCACTTGTCTCCAGGATGTATAAGTTAAGACATTGATGATGCCAGATAAAAGAATTTGATCTTTGCACAGTGTTGTGAGGTAACTGATGGGTTTAATGTAATTTATTAACTCGAGCAGATAGGTCACACTTTTCAAAGGTTTAGTGGGTCTAGAGTTTCACTTGCATTTATATCCACAATTGGCCATTTGCCTCTCTCTCTTAAATGTGCACAAGGACCAGATAATATGTGCAAAAGTCCCAACTTTGAAAATTGGTTAAGCTGTAGATCAAAAACAGTTTGTCATCTTGTGCAGTGTAGTTCCTGCTATTTTATTAAAGAAAAATAAAAATAGGGCATTAATTCGTTACATCAATATTGTATCAACATTGGTTTTTGATACTCATTATGGCAAAAGTTATGCTAATTTCTATTTTAATTAAGACCGTTGCCTTATTTCTCTGGGACATACCAAGGGTGGGTCTCCATCCACTGAAGACCAGAGCAGAATTTTATAAACAAAGCCTAACTGATCAGAGCGAAGTTATACATCTGGAATATTTCATCACTGGTTTGGTCATTCATGGGAGGATAAAGCTGGCAGACTATATTCATCCTACACTTCTGATCTTATTTGGGTGCCACACCACCGCCCTCCATACATCATGAGACAACCATGTGAATAATGAGAGACAAAATGTGAACACCACTAAGGGTACTGTCCCTCTAGTCAAAACTAAACTTGAAATACTCAGAGTCAAAAAAGAATAAAGAAGATAGAAATACAGCAAATAAGAAAAGATTAGCATTGAAATTTACCTGTGGCTAGCAAATGTTTCACATTTTTATCTAAAACTGCATTTTGATTTACCTGAAGAATTTTTAAGAGTCAGGCTTATTTGGCAACTAACTTCTTTTTTTTTTAAATAAGCTGCTAAAGGAAATTAGAATGAAGCCTGTCACCTAGGCCTCTGGTTTGGCTAGAGGAGGCAAGTAAGACTTCAGCATACCTTAAAGGAGTTTATTTCTCAAAACAATTCTAATGCACAGAGAAGAATAAATAATTTGGCTTAATACAAGGACCCACTTGGAATGGAATTTGGGCACCAAAATAATTTGGCATTTCAATTCATTTGAATGTCTACTCTTCACAAATCACAGGACTAGTTGATGATGCGATACAAAAGGAAAGTGTTAGCGACTTTAATGTGAGACAGGACTTTCGTAGCCAAGGCAAGAGCAAGGCACTATGAGAGTAGAGAAATTGGAAAAGCACTGATGGGTTCTCATTAGTGGGTTTGGTCTCCAGATCTTTGCAATGGTTACAGCTACTGAAATGCCAGTTTTGCTAAGAGAGATGCAACAGAATTGGTGTTACTCATTATACAAAACTATGTTCACCAAGCTTATATACCAAATCCTAAGTGAAACGTAGCGATACTTGATTAATATTTAAACAGCTATATCTTGCTATGTTTATTCTTAATTTTAAGATTCATGATTCACTAAAACCCTTCCCTAAAAAAAAAAAGATAAAAAATACATTTTTAAGATCTACAACTAAGAAATAGGTTGAAACGACTTTTCTTCCAGTGTTTGCTGAAATTTACCTCTTGTCATTAACCTGTATTTTTAGCTTGCTTTGGTACCTAGAGAAGGATAAGTACTTCTGAAGAACAAATTGGGGATAATCAAGCAGAGAAAAAAAAAAAAATAGTGTGAAGGGAAGTGGTTGAGCTTTGGAGCAATTCTGCCTTTGCTAAAACACAATCTCTGAGACCTGGCTGCTCAGGTTCACGTGACTCTCAAAGCCTAGATGACCATCTCTAGCACTCAAGTTAATACAACTTACATATTTTGAAATGGCTTTCTGCTCCAAATAACATCTGGTTTATTGACTTGCATCAATAGGTCTTACAGTCAAGCAGGGCTCTGATAAATACCACATTTGCGTGAAACTAGAGTAACCACATTACTCCCAAGTTCTTCATAGGCTCAAGGCACTCTTTGTAGCCCAAATCTGGTTTTCCTGCTCAAAAGTAGGCACAAAGTAGCCCTAATATCTAGCTGCTCATACCAGAAAACTGGTCCTGAGACTCGTTTTGGAAAGTCATCTTTATAAGTTCAGAACAGCATTTAAGGATGCGTATCTGTTGGTCACTGTGAACATTATGAAGCCTAGTGACCAAGAGGCCTAGCATGCATCAAGCAGTAACACATACAGAGCCTTGAGACACATCTAGTACCCGCTACGTTGGCAAGCTAATGGTTAGGATATCCCAAGGGATGTCTGTCTCTGACCTGGCACTCTGCTAGTGAGGAACTGTCCAGGGGCAGGAGGGACCACACAGCCAACATCTGCATTCAGGTCTAGATGTCACCTGGATTCTGACCTATACAATTAGGATATGGCCTCATTGATTTAGTTCCAAACATTCATCAACACTATACCTTTAAGGTTGAACTTTGGAAATGGATTCTTTTACAGGCTATTGGTCTGATTGTAGTCATCTGTGAAAAGTCACAAGAACCCAACAGTGTGTCTTCTGGGCCTCTGCCCTGCCACCTGAACAATCAAAACTATAGGCCCAGCGTGCAATTACTTGTTTCCGAGTTAATGTCTATTGTGTATCTTTAGCGTAAAGGATGTTACAG